GGATTGTGGCCGAGTGTTGTCCATCGACTGGACTGCAGCTTAATTTTATTTCCAAGTTCTCTGTGGCTCGAGTGTTCCCCTCCCCTCCCCTCCGATGAACCGTAGCGATCGAAGGATCGAGCTAATTCTGCGTTTGACGCTCAACGAAACACGTTTCGAGGGGTTTGACTTCTTTTTGAAAAGAAGCCATGGTTTCGTAAATTAGGGATATTTTTATTAGAATTTCGTTCCATATTGAAATATGGAAGGGAGTATTTCTTGAGAGATATATTTTTTTTATCAAGATTTTTCTGTATTTGATATCGAGATATCAAGATATGGAGGGTCTCGTCGAAGAGTTTCGGTTGTTTTGGGTTTTTTATTATTTAAATAACCAGGGTAACTGGTTGTTACTATAAACTTCTAAAGAAAATAAATAAATATAATACTTCTAAAGATATAATATATAATATAATATATAATATAATAAATAAATATAATATTTTTTAAAATAAATAAATAAATAAATAAAATGTTTTAAAATAATTCGATTAAGTGGATATACAAGATCGATTCGGTCGGACAATATAGCGAAATTGAATGAATTCTCGCGAGAAATTATAATAAAAGCGTCGTGTGTGGTATCGCAAGTGGAATCGAATTATTTAAATTTAAACGGGGAAAGTTTTAGTTACAGGCGTTACACGAGACGCATTACACGACTCCGCGTAGGGGAACTACGTCATAGACTGCGCTTTAATTTTCCTTGCTTCCAGAAACACCAAACACGGATCGCATCGCTGTACCCAGTGACAGCTGTACGCAACAGACTCCCAAGGAACTCGAAATTCGTGTAAGCGGGGACCGAGTTTCGCGAAACTTGCGCCATCGGTAAAAGTGTGATACTTTTACTAATGAAATACTATCCTCGTTGCTGCTCGTCGAACGCTCCTTCAACTTTCCGCTAAATTAACTCAAGAAATATCTTTGAACGACACCTGCGCACATACTTGAGTTCTAATGCGGAAGAAAAGAGAAGAAGAAAAGTAATTTCTTTTTGGAACAAATAAACATTTGGAAACATTTTCGAAGAAATTTTTCCAAGTGATCTTTCTTTCTAAATTATCTAGATTGTTCCTATATTAGGCTTATAGAAGTCTCTTCTTTCCCGTCCAATCAGGGAATCAAGAGTTTCTTACTCGTCCATTGTCGTTCGAAAAATTCTCACACATATACAAATACAAATATTTTCCGTCGTTATTATCGCGATTCGTTTAAAAAAATTCGAGCAAACGACAGTTATCCTGTGAAAATGACTAACCCAGCGATAAAACCGATTTTAACGAGAAACTCAATCTTCGTGCCATCAATCGACCGATCTCTCTCTCTCTCTCTCTCCCTCTCTTTTTTCCCTCTCTCCCGTTTCCCGCGCGCGTGNACACACCGGATTTACCCGGTTTCCAATAAAGTACGTTCCCCGAAACGAAGTTAGCGTTACAGTGAAAGCAAGTCGGGAGTCATCGGTGGTGAAACTGGAGACGGATATCCAATCGGGATATCGAAGGTCAAGGAGCTATCACGGCACAAATTGGGTTACCGAGGACCCCGAGCGTATCGAGAAAATCCTATTTCCAACTCGCTATTTTTCTCCCCGTGCCCCAACCCCCGGCTTTTTATACCGGATAACAGCGCGACTCTTTACCCGTTATCCGAGCCAGGGATCTTTGAATCTTCTCAACTTCGCCAACCAGTTTTGTAACTACACACCCGTGCTTTTCCACTTTTCCTACTTTCCCCCGTCCAACTGATCCCGCGGCTAACGCTGCAAAACGGTATTTTGTATCTGTTTCTTTCTTTTTTTTTCTTTTTTTTTTTTAATTTCAAATAATACCGATCGGACGAGATTTTTTGTTTTCTCTCTCTCTCTTTTTTTTGTTTTTTATTCTCGATTCGAACTCGTACGAACTATAGAATTTTGTCTTTTTTTTTTCTTTTTTCTTTTTTTTTTTTCGTTTTGTCAGATCGTTGTGTTTGGAATCGTTGGAACTATGGGAATATTGGTATTTTATCTGGAATTAAAGTTATTAGAATGTATTTGGAATTTTTGTTTTTCTTTTTTTTTAAATAATGATTGATTAAATGATTGTGGAAAGTAATTTGTTTCTTCGTTTCAAATTTTGTTTGTTTGTTTTTTAAGATTATTGAAATTGTTATAGATAAATGGAATTAAGAATTAATTTAAAATATATTTGTACGATTGAATGGATATTTTGGAGGATTTGAAACGGAGATTTTCAATAATATATGAATGATACAGATGTATACGTTAGATTATTTTTAGTATTTTTGATTTTATATAAGGTTATATTTTGTTTGAGAGATTATCTCATATTTTTTGATATTTCGATCATTTGTTATTAAAAACGAAAATAACGTATAATCCTCTTTACGAAAAATGTAGGTTTGTATTAATTTTTATCAGAAAGCTCGATTCACGCAAAAATTCATTTTTAATCTCTTATGAATAAATTCTCGTCCTACCGTGAAATTACGGAAAGGAAATAATAATACATATAAAAAAAAAAGAAATCAAATATCTCTATAATTATTACATTTCGTAAAATAGCTTTATCATTCAAAGAATATCACGTACCACCACTTTAAATAAATTTTCAATCGCTTCAAGGAAAATCCTATCTCTCCTGAAATTATCTTCAACATTTTTTTAGTCCCGTTTGCATAATTATTACGTTTCGTAAAGTAACTTTTATTACACCACTCAAAAGATATCGCGTAATAATATTTAACATAAATTTTCCCTCGTTTCAAAGATACAAAACTTTGAAATATATACATTATAATACGTTTCACGTATTATAATAAATTTTCATTCAACGTTCACAGAAAAAAAAAAAAAATATTCCGCGACGCAAAATTATTTTCCAATCGTCGCCTATTATTGAAAATCTCCAAAATCTTCAAAATCATTTCCAATATAATTTCAATTCGAAACAATATAATTTATTATTTTTCGTCAACTAAATATATTCCCGAAATAGAATGAAGCATCTTCAAATAAATTTTCAATCCACCTCGATCCCTTACGCTTCTCCTCCTCCTCCTCCTCCTTTTCCACAAAAAAGAAAGAAAGAAGAAAGAAAAAAAAATCTAATTTGTGACTCTAACGAAAGAATCTCGAAGAAAATGTCAGGGTATACGGGGGCTGATCCTGCCTTTCGTTTATGTGATTTCACCGGAAAAAGGAACCTTACCTGCCAGACGGCCGTAACGCTGAAACATTCGCTCCACATCGGTCTTGCTGCACTGGAACGTGTTTAGATTCCCGACGAAAACCCGGGAATTCACCGCCTGTGGGTCCTGCGAATTGGTCTGGTTGCCCACTTTGCTCATCTTCATCGCCTGGAACAGAAGAATGTAACCGGATGCCGGTTTATCCTCGAACGTGATTCGGGTACGACGAATGCAACGTCGAAAAGTGATACAGTAAGATCATTTTATCCGTTTATCCCTAACCATCGCCCTAGATTCTTACCTTCCCTGTCGTCACGATTTCACCATCCTTTTTTTCCATCTTTCCTCGAAATTATTTCCAAAATCTCGCAATGTAAACACGCACAAAATCTCCAAATTAAACCCGACGAATTGTTCAATTATTTAATTATTCGAGACACGAATATCGACGGGTATCAAAAAGTTGAAAACGCGTCACAGTTTCAACGAAGAACGATCCCCTTCTACGTAACGAGTCGGCCACGTTGCGCAGAATGACTTAATGAGATTCGTCCTTCCGAATTGTCCGAAAGACGCTTGTTGCCACCGTGGCTGCGACGAATTAATTAACGAGAGAGATTCCATTCTAAATGAAAAAAAAAAA